GTTATTGTAATATTCACATTTTTACTATTTATATTATTCTATTCCGATACGACGGAAGGTCTTTCGGCGCACAGTATACTGATTTACTCAGTTAAAAATTATCATACCAATAGAAATTTAGCTGATTTTGTGGATTATATTCAAGAGCAGGTAACTTTCTTTGTTTTCCATATTTATTTTGGAAATTTTAATAATTATTATTACGATAATGCACAATTTCATATTGATAGCCTAATGAAAATTGTTGATTTCCTTCCCAAATTTAATTCTCAAACTCTTATATATATATATATATATATATATGCTATCCAAGGCTTGAGATCATCTTTAAGTCATTTGGTGATATCACAGGATGTGATATGACTGATATCATGTTATCGCTGATTGGAAGAAATGGAAGAAATGATCATTCATTTAGAGTGGAAACATAAATGTAGCAGTTTATAGAGGAATTTTTAATTACTATAAATTCTAAGCGAGAGATATTACATTTGTCTTCGGTCCTCCATCTCAGTGATGGTATTGCAGCTTGAATGTTGTGGTGTATCGTCAGCTTCACAGGGTTATCGGGACTGGCAACTATCGGATCAGTTCATTTGCAATCCGAGCAATCCTTATCCAGAAAAGTGTGGAGTACCATTCAGTTGCTGCAAACGATCAGTGGTAAATTTCGGCATTTGACAGACTATTTCTCGATGTTTTCGTATTCAGAGCTTTTATAGGAATTATAAAAAATTATTTCCATTTTGCCAAATTATATTTCTCAAATGTGTAAAATAAAATGTAGATTTTTGTTGAATTGCATTTTTATACTCTCATAACATAGACCAATATTTGGTAACATATCTCGATCATTTTTTTCTTTTACCAAATAATAACCGAAGAGTGAATATTTCAACCATAAATTTAGTTTACAAATAAAACCTCACAGTGAAAAAATAGCAGGTATCAGAAGCAGCGGCTGGTTCTACCAATCCTTTGTTACCAGCGATGCGATCATTGCAATGTTGGCAGAATGCGCAAACAAAACGGCCTCAAGAGCTGGAAGCTGATTTGCACACACGAGGATGTTTACAACCGTTGCGAATACTTTTCGAAAGCCATGCCGTACATGTTGGCGCTGTTGTTGCCATCATTATTATTCCTGTTGTATGATTTTTCATACGAAATGAATGAATTATTACAAAAAATTATTTCAGATTTCTTCAATAAAAATTTTCATACAAAAAGATATGTGCTTGAAAAGCAATCAATGTTTTATTTTGAAATAGTGTGTCTTTCATCATTTACAAATTTTTTTTCCACAAATTACTTGCAGTGTATATCAGTATGTTTATCGAATATCTTGGCCAAACAAATCGATCACCAACGATATTTACTAGAACGTGAAGCTCGTCGTTGTGAGCGACGTCGTAGACGTAATGAACGGATTCGTTTCCGTGATCAATATACAGCTGCTATGGAAACTAACGCTAACGAACCCAAACGTTCTGCGAGTGCTCCACGGCATAGCACAGGTCAAAATTCAGACGATAGTGCAACTGTCATCGACGTTCGTTTGTTGCGTTTACCAGATTTCATTTTAATTAAAATATTTTGAAATGGTTATTGTTTGACCTCTGTTTATTTTTTTCTTGACATTTTAAATGGTGCAAATTTTAACAAAAACGAAGAGGCCAGGGCGGTGGGTGAACGGATCAGAAGCTAAGTCGTTCCTTTTAATTCCTTTGCTGGATAAACTATCTGTTGTTTTGGTCCTCCAGTTCTCATTAATATATCATAATAGGATATTTTCAGATTTCCTGAAGCTTTTAGAGCATTTTTTTGCTTCAGTTCGATACAGTCTAAATACCCTCTCTGCAGAGGTCAGATGGAATAAATGTTTAGATATTTTAAGGAATTGGGGCATTAAATTTGGAAATCAGTGTAATTTCAAATTTGGACTTTCAAATTCGTTTATTGTTCGAAATAACAATAAACAATTCTAAATTTCAGCTCGGATTGGAATCCGTTAAAGTGACGGAGCCACCACGACCTTCTGTATCTGTTCAGCCGGAAAAGAAACTTCCTGCCATAAATTTATCAAAATTTTCGCAATCACTACCACCAGTACCTCCTCATGAGCCTTCTCAACTGAATGGTGAGGTCAGACGACATCGAAAACATTGTCGACCAACAAGTAATTCACCATCAAAACATACTGTACAAACATCATCGGCAATAAACCAGCATCAAAGGATACCGAACGGTAAATGCTTTTTTTCTCACAAAATTAACATTATCATTATTCTGGGTCTTCTGTGCATTGATAGGATAAATCGCTTTTTGTCAGTCGAGCTGAAAATGAAAAAGGGACTTTTGGTTAAAATACTTTTTTTCTATGAATGGACGTTTACTTTTTCCATTTTCCTCTCATACTTAATAAATGATAATCGAATCGTATTACATTAAATAAACTTCTTTCTAAACATTTCAAGGTAAATACTATCAAAATACCTCTGAGATTATTTAATATCACAGTGGAAATTAAGTTAGTTAAGGTCAGTTATTATTATAAAGCGGTTGACTTCCCTAATTTCTCAACTTTCTCTCTTTCTTGCAATGTCTAATCTTAGCATATTTGTGCTACAAAATAACTAAGTTATCAGAGCTTCTCTGCTGGTGAAAATTTCACAATAACAAATTTCGAAGAGATCAATTATATATTTCCACTGTGATATTAAATAATCTCAGAGGTATTTTGTTAAGGCAATATCAATTGATTGATTGGTCATCTAATCACACTTTTCAGGAACGTCAGTATCAGCTCCTCGTAATAAACAGAAGCAACGAAAACGTTCATTGGCTACCGCTTCACTGTCCAAAACGTCAACCGAAAATCGGACGCAGCAATGGGTTTTGGAGCAATCCGATCTTGTTGGCTATAAGCCTGTTGGCTAATATTTTCGCTTTGTATAACTGAAAGCTAAAATATATCAGCAATACTATTGTCGAGATGGTTTTTCACTTTTACTGCTCTATTATTGATAACATTCATTCGTCACGAAATTATGCAATTTTTGAGAATCTTACAAAATATGCTAAATTCCAGAAAATGTTTCGAATGGAGGGTTTGAATTTTTCTAATTTTAGATTTAGAAAGAGATACTTTATTCAACTAATTTCAGCTGTAGTTCATTTGCTTGGCGTTAATTATTGGATTTTAGTATTTTCAAGTAAAAATTTTTCAAAAGCATGAAAAAAAATGAATTTCAACCTTATGTTCTGTTTATTGTGTCTAAAAATTGCTTACAGAATGTTATTTTTAATTTTTCTTCTTTTTTACCAAAACTTTCACCTTAAAACTTGAACTCAAGAAAATCATTGAAGTATCCTTTCATTTATCATTCCTAAAAAAAGTTTTCATTTTATGTCATTGTCTGCTAAGATGTTTCTTTTATCTTTTTTTTGCTATGTTTTATAGTAATTGAATCTTGGATGCTCTCGAAGAGCATTTACAATATTTGTTTAGCTTCATCTCTTTTATTTGTTTCAAAATAGTAACCCTTTTTTTAATGGATTTAATCATCCTAACTTGAAGATAGTGCCTTGAACATGTAATTTTTATAATCACTTTTTTAAAGATATTTACTGAGCAGTACTGGATCTGTATGTAATACCATGTATGAATTGAAGTAATGCAAAGTCCCAGATCCATTCCGGGTAATTATAGCATGCGGTTTTTCACTTGTTGAGCTGAATAATGTTTAGATTATTTAATTTGTTTCTGTATAAATTCATATAATTTGCCTTATTTGCCTTCTCAGTAATTATTGGAGAAAAGAGTGATTCATTCCTGTTTTGCTCACCCTAATAAACGACCCTCAGCACGAATTGTACACGTTCCGTCACAGATTTTAGTTGATTATTCAAATAAATTTAAAAACCATAATGAGTTGGAAATAGGAATTCATAATAATCAAGTGTAAAAGATTAAGCTAAAGATGTCACAAATGTGGTTTAAAAATGGGGGTAGTTGGTTTTCAAAGCTATTGGACTTCTAGAAACTTGCGCAGCATTTGATCTAGTGTTGCAAATGATTCATTTTGTGTTATACATCACTGTCATTATTGCAAATTAAATTTTGATGCCTGATTTGTTCAAAATTCGAACTTTAATCATCCTTGAATGGGATAAGGAGTGATACACTTGTCCATAAGTGAACAAAAAGCGTTTTTCCCTATCTGCGCATTTGCTTTTTTACGTCACTTTCGAACGAATGACATCGACAGCCATACTACCATCTCCCACGACATAATCAGTAAACTTAGCATGTCCAACAACCATAGTTCACTAGGACTACATATTTCATGTCGCGACTTTGGATGAAGCGAAGTTGACAGACAATTGCCTAAAGGATTTCTCGAGCTCTGTGGTCAGTACTTGACATCGGTTAGCAGTGGACTTTTTTGTGAATTCGAGTTCCTTGTTAGTTTGGAAGATATCAAATGCCTACTACAAAGACTTGCTGCCCACATCAGTCAGCACTGTTACATACTGCTTATTAAAAATTTAAATGTTGGATGAATTTTAATAAGCGTAAAATGGTGAATGAATTGCAGATGGACATCAGTGATGTATACATTCTTGGTTTTCATCTTCTAGTTCCACTTCAAGGTTCATTTCTCCGAGCTCCATTGTCTTTCGAGCTACTTCTCCATCAAATACATAACGATCTGGAATGCGGATAACCCATTCCCTTTGACATGGCTGAAAGTGAAATATCTCTGACTTGCATTTACTAAGCTTTCATTATTGTGGAATCTGTACTGATCTGCTTGTCATATTCTCATCACTCAGCGATCTAGAAAGAGCTCACAGTCTAAGTTTAACTCTTCAATACTCACAGCGTGCATTTCAATGTTTAAGTATGTTGCTTGGCTTCTCTTAAAAGGCAGTATTTGACGCTAATTGCATACATGTGCGTACCCACGCTTACGGAACACACGCACTGCACATCGTATACTCTCGAGTTTCTGTTCCTTTCCAAGTAGCCGAACTCGGGACACCGTTGCAAATTGTTTAATAATCGGATGATCATCTCACATTGTCCTTTTTGAAGAAAATATATTCTGATCAACTGCAGTACAGTACTGGTGAACTGAATCTAAGCAATGAAAGAATCTTTGTGGCACTCAACAATCAGATCATTGTCTTCCGACTCTCGAACTTGACTTTTTTTTATATGTTATTAGAATTGGCCAAAACTGATCCAGTCCTCGAGAGATTCCGACTTCTACAATTCAGCAAAGTCGAAAGAGGGACGATATCATTATTTTTAAATTACTTTATTGATGCAACAGTTTTCTCAGTGTAAAACACAACACAGAAATGATTTAACGTTTCGCCATTGATTTTGGCATTGTTAGCATTGTTTTAAAGTTTAAACTAATTCGGAAAAACCAAAACTGCGTGTTAATTTTGCGAAGCTACGTATGACAACATGCAGCTAACCTTCCAGATGTAAGGAAGCCAACCAGAAGTTTGCAGAACATAAAGTAATGAAGAAAATCGGTGCCTCACATTCACGGAATCTGCGGTCGCACGGCCACAATTTTGGAAGATTTCATCGTTTAGGATGTTAAAGTACAAGCTTATATGATTGATATTAGCTGTGATATTATAATCACAGCGTCGTGAATTCGGAAACATATCAATTCTTGAGAATTTTTTAAGGTAGCAATTTTTTCGTCTTTTCTCGCTTTAATGACGCAATGGATTCTTCCAGACTGCAAGTC